ATAATTGAGCATTTAAGCATTAACATAAAATGTTGACCTACCATGGATAATTCAGGGACACCATTTTCTTTGGGTCGATTTAGCAAATCTTGTGGCCTACAGGAATAARTATTTATAATASGGCATATGAWAAGTAAACCACTAAAGACTTATATCACTGATTAWTAATTRGCACTGATTGGCTGGCTACCATSTTTATATCAGAGGACAGAGACAATGCAAAATCATTRAAAAATATTTTATAAAAGGAATATAAAACAGCTGCTTATGCTTCTGTACTATAATACAACACTCTAGGAGCTGTAGAGCATTTGAGAAGCAAGAAAAACACTCAGCTACACCTCATGTTCCTTGCTTCTCTCTTGGTGTACAGCTCCCAGCATGTTTGTATTACTGTACAGAGACACGCATGCATGTTTTATRTTCCTTAAATAATGATGAATGTGGCATCTGAACCAGACGCAGATCATCACTAACAATGAAAGACAGTTTATCAACTGCACAAATTATCAATCAAAATTATCAATCAATACAGATAAGCCAAACAAAAACCAAAAATTTGAGCACTGTTCATGTTTCTGTGATGAAGAAAAATCCAGTAAAGGCTTTTATGTGTTAAGTTTTGGCTTCTCTCCATCAAATTAACAACACTTCAAGAAAGAAGTGTACTATAGGTTATAACATACCTTTCTCTACTCTCGCTGGGTGCTTTTCTTTTGCCACTTTCACTGACTTCTAAAGGAGTTAATTCATCAGTGTCCAATGGTGGTCCATCTCTCTCATGTAGGATCTGTTCATGCTGATGAAGGTATTGTTGTGGTGTCTGTTTGGCCATTTGTGCACATTGTAGTAGTTCACGTTGTAACAGAGGAAGATTAGCCTGCAATTTGTAGCATTAAAAACATAATGATACTGCTTCCAAAGGTACAATGAATTAAAAATTTAATAATATTTCAGCTTYGAGTTCCCTTTTGCTCAGGGCAAAAGGGCTACTTTGAGCAGAATATTCATGTGTTCCAGTCAAGGTCCATGGAATTTCAAAGTGTTTTGTATTGTTGAAGTTGTAAATTCTTTACTAATTAACATTGGTATTTAGGCTAACCCTGAGTAAATGAGTCTGTAATCAAGAAACACAGCAGTAATTTGGAACTCCAAAATGGTCTATCATGTATTAAGAAGAATATCAGCAATGACAAGGAAAATCCTGATAATTTTCAAAAATTTTGAAAATCTAATGTCAACCTAAACAGAAACATACAAAAGCAATTTTCTTGTTGGTAAATAAATGTATCCATGAAATATCCATGAAACAAACAAAAACCATGATTACCTTGAGAAAGGGTATGACAAAAGGTCTGAGTGGAAAGTTGGTGGCTTCTTGTAGCTGGGTATGAAATTCCTCTATCGATATTGTAGAGTTCTGAAGTAAAAACAACCATACATCACTTATCAACTGAATCCTGTACTGCATCATAAAATAAATGAATATTTGACAATAGTGTGAACATAGGATACCTACCACAAGGTTCATAACAAGTCCTCGTACACGCTCACCAATCTCTGGTGATATATCTGAGCCAAACTGCATTAGAGTAGTGAGAAACCTTTTCAGTTTGCTTAACTGCCTTGCACCACATGCAGGTGGAAGCTGATTGAGGGAGTTACCAATACCTGTAGGTGATATTGGACCAGTAGGACTTGAATGGATCCCATTCACTACTGGAGATGTTGCATTGGATATTGACCGTACATCAGCAACTATTGGTGCTGACGAATTAGACGTTGGTGAAGACACAGGGGGTCCATTTGGAGGATGTGCAGCTGTATCAGTTGGGGAATCTGGCATGCTTGCCTCTCTCAGATCTACCGGAAATAGAAAACATGAMATCATTACAAAATATTCTATATATGTATATATTTATAGAAAGAAAAAAGAATATGATTTGAATAAGCAAATAAAAATCCAACTAGGTTAGCAATGGCATTTAATGCATAACTATTAAATCTGTTCCAGTATTGCTAAGAATTAYAATAACATGGAAAAATACATAAAACTAAAACCTCTAAAACTAAAATTAATCCTTCCTAATAGGACAACAATATARGAGAAGCATTATATGTATATATATGAATAGGCTGTGACCATCTTTCTGTGTTCGTTTGGTGATTGATCTATTATAAGTCTGACTGATTAAATCTGGTCATCTTGTAATGTAAATTAGATAATCCATTGGGAGAACACTCACTCAAATATAGAAATATTTCCTTTAAATATCACAATAAGATTTGCTGGATCACCTCATATCAACATAGCAAAATATTTCATATTAACTGATCACAAAAGACATATTTTTGCAAAAACTTTTCACATTTCCTAATTTCATAGATTGAATCTTAATTATGTCATTGCAATTCAGAGAAAGCTGAAAGTTTAAGGAATTATAAGGTTTTATCATCCAATACAAGTCTCGTTAGCATATGCAGATTTTAGTGTTTTGTAATGGTGGATATGTAAAGAATGATATGGCCATTGCTTGGTTTGCCTGCTGCCAACCATCTAGATCATTTCTAGTTATTCGATCTCTGTTATTCTAGACCAAGAGACAGCATTTCGTATTATTATTTGAAGGCATATCCATGTATCTTTGATGTAGTTTGATATTGATAGTACGTGCAGATGTTCTAAATGCTGCAGCCAGCCAAGTGATAAGAATTCGCTCAACCATTGCCTCTGTGAAATACGCCAAGCATAATCATACAAGAATATTCACACCTATAAAGGTTATGAATAGTAATAAGACATATGTAGAGGATATTCGTACCATAGGAAGCAGGTTTTTAGATAAAGACAAATCATTCAAAACGCACTACAGCAGATGTTGTTAGCAAAATTCAATTACAAACGTAGGATTCGCAATAAGCCTTTCCGTCCTTTCCGCCCGAAAAAAAAACTCCTTACAATTGTTTTGTAGTTACAAAGAGTTTATTGTCCAACAGAAGTATAAGAAATTTCAATCAAAAACTGCTATACGAGAGGCTATGAAACAGTAGACTAGTAAAATATCCGCCCAGCAAAAAAATTGAAGATTATTGAAGCGAAATATTGAAGCTATGATAATAATCCTTGGCCAACTCAAGACTTAAACGTTCTGAATCTAATACAGTAAAGTAGCATAGTAACTAAGGATTTATAGAGAAAAAACGAACTCTTAAAACTTTACTCGTTTGCAAACGAAACACAAAGAAGAAAGGAATAAAAAACAAAGCGAAGCTGACCATGACTGGATCAAAATGGCTTTATTTCTACCAATGTGGCGATATAAATACTGTGTTACTGGGCCATAAGTTTCATATTATGGATGAAACTCAATAATTTCGTCAGAAAGGCTTGATATTCTATCGTAATACACAAAATAAAGTCTTCAAAGACCACAAAGCCTTGAATCAGACGAAAGGCTATCAATAAATTATTAGACCGTTCAGAAGAAAAATAAAAGAAAAGCCTGAATATCTTCTAGTAAGACTGAAATAATAAGGAAAAAAATACAAATTCAAATGATTATTAAGGTGTAAGATTGCTTTAGAGTTGAAAAAAAGACAAAAATAGAGGAACATGATAGCACATTCATTGAACAACAAGAACAGCGACACTAGTCTTGCATGATGGCTTTTTTCGCTCATTTTCTCTACCAAATACGATTCCAATTCAAACTCAGACWATCTGTACTATAAAACTAACATCAATAAAGAAAACGGAATATATTTTACCTGAAGTTACAGCCGGCATTACAATAATCCGTAGCAGAAAAAACAAGAGTCGTTAAACCAACTGACTCTCTTCCATTGATCGACCAGCCATCACAACGACGGCCATATTACCCTGTGACGTCACTGGTCACATGTCTTGTTATCGATTATTAATTATATACATATATATGCAGCTGGTACATATATATATATATACATAGGAGTATAGAGGTACAGCCACAAAACACTGCACGTGTATCACACCTCACAAAACATTACTTTCACATCCATCAGTACATAGTATTATAGCTATTTTACTCCAATGAACAATATGATTCCAAGTACAGAATTTCCAAACCTTTTAACCTCATGTTTAAATTTTCCTTATAAAGTTCTCTCATAGGATTTACTTAGTAAACGTTTTTCTTCAGCAAACGGCATTTGTTACTATGAAACTTAAATGATTTTAATATACGAGATTTTTAAAATTAAAAAACCACGAGCCAAGATTTATGTATTATATTTTCAACGATTTCCTTTGTTTAAGGAGTAAAAACAAATTGAAATCAATTTTAGCTTTTAAATTTTGAATTTCGTCGTTTTTACTTAAAGAAGAAAAAATGTCCTAGAATCGTAAGCTTTTAAGAATAAAACTTAGAAATAAAATCTTATAGGAAATAAGAAAGGGGTTTTAAAGAATATCGTTAAATAACGGTACCTTTTTCAAATTCGGTATGCATTTTGAATTTTCATCTTCATGTCAAAGATAACATTTCTTAATTAAATTTTTTCAGGTGCCATGCATATTCGTGAAATATTCGTGCAATACACCTGTACATCCGGGACCTACTGCAGGTGCATCAATGTGGCTCGCTCGTTGTTTGATTGACTTATTCTAAATTTGGCCATGGATGACAGGCTGGCCGTAATGAGGAAAGACTGAGATGGGGAGCCAACCAACATCATACTAATAGTTGGGCACTTTGTGAATTACTGATTGATTTTCACAAACACATGTTGGAAAGAGATTTGAATATATGCTGAGAAGACTAAATAGTGTTATGGCTTGCTTGGCGATTCAGTCCCTATCACAAGAAAAATAGATGAATTCAATGAYATAATTCATGGTTCCCGGTGAATTATTTATCATCCATCCATTAGAGTAAACTAACACATGTTTTGAGAAAACTATAGGAGTAAATAAAGTGCGATATCCGCTGAAAAGCTTTTTCATGGATGCGTATTTTATTTCTTCCCTTAAAGGCTATTACGAGATAAAAGACATCCTTTTAAAAAATTAGCTCGARAGAAAGCCTCTGAATGTAAAATCAGCTAAAATCGCTGATATTTTTCTCCCAGTCCGGAGTCTTTAAAAACCATTTACAAAAGCCGAAACGCCAGCAAAACATTGAACAGCCTTCCTCGATGTGATTGGTCAAGTCTAGGCACGTGTACACCGTACTGTTGGCTGGATRAGTTGATTAATGAACATCTGTCGTGCCATCAAAATGGGAAACACGAYGATGAAAAAAATGATGTACTGACACTGATCCACGCGTTACAGGTTAGGACTTGTRGTACCTAGCTATCCCTTGCCATTTACATTTGATATCGAGATCCATTCTATTACCACAACACCACGAACAGTGTTTAAGTTTCACTTCAAATCTCACGAAAACATTGTCAGCAACAAAACACTCTGGGCACTACACTAGACCAAAGGGAAAATGTTATACGATGTAATGATAAAAATGCCACTGGAAATTATATGAGGTCTTGAAGCGAAAGGCGAATATCAATTAATCGAGCGAATGTTAAAAAAAAGTGAACTTGAAAATAAAAATATTTTTGAAGACATAAAATAAGAAATCCATAATGATTGCCTACCGCTATATTTAGCGTGATTCATCCCGGCTCTGAATTTCATTTATCCTGATGTTCGACTACAAAAGCTCCAACGAAAGCCTGCTTGTCTTGTTGCAACCGCCTTGGTATAGTCAAACCAAAGCTTTGTAGTTCTGACATCGAAGTTGTGTTCTTTGGAGCGGACACCTGTACATCCGGGACATTACGTCAGCCAAGACAGCTGCAGGCGAGCTGTGTGCTATTATTAATTAACACAGAGTCCGCGTTTGACATATAAGTGCGTGAATTATTTACATCTGCCTCAGTATCACATATTAATGATTTAGAGAACGTTTTCTCGTAACGAGGGTGTGGCGAACTTGCATCGACCACCAAGTCAATTAAAATCTAGTCGCGTCTCCATGGAAACATATCTAGTGGAAAGACTGGCTTCGTTACTTATATCTTCGATCAGAGTTGACCAGTGCATGATAACGTGCCAGTGTAGTGAAGTTTTTCTCGCAAAAAAGCTGTGTAAAGAAAAGCTCTCTCTACTGCGTAAATAGCTTAAGTTGGTATGGGCCGCCAAGAGTTTATCTCACTTGAGAAAATCTCACGAAAATTCTAATCACGATTGGATCACATTATWTTGATTCCTGGAACTATTTTACATTTTTTTAACATTAAATTTGGTAGTAACTATATGATCACATACTAAATAGCAATACGCCTGAATCACCGTCACACTCATACTGATRAAAAAATTCTCTATCCTGCTGCGAGTTCATTATAGCATCGAAAACCTTATCATTAATCGAACGATCGCTCCAAATGAGCATTTCCAGCTTGGATATGTGTCTTTATTATAATCTTCATCAAAAATTATTCAAGTACTAAAAAGCAAAATTACGATTTTTTCAGTTCTTACGCGCGCGTACCGTTAAAAATATTGTCGGTTGTAATATAAAGTAAAGCGCAAAAGAGAGTCATGCAGCCAATCCTTTTTCTTGTTAAAAAAACTCATTTTCAAATCTTCTTGATTATTCATTTTGCTCCTCCACAGTAACCGGAATYCGTACAGCTCTTTAAATCAATAAAGCCTTTCTGATGAGAAAATGGTTCATTACAGAAATATGGTCATGTCATTTCCTAGATAGAGTCAAGTAGGAATATTGAATATCATTAGCAGAGAAAAAAAACTGACGGTGTCTATTTTGGCTAGAATACTGCGTCATAAACACAAAAGAACGTGAAACATTACAAAACAAATCGATCAAAAGAAAAAGAGTTTGACATCTGGTGGTTGAAAAGAAAATGACAGGGGTGTTTTAGGTGGATTGTTGTTGTTTTATGTCCAACACTTTTATGTCAGCATGCTTTTGAAATAAAAACACGTCAATTAGTTTTGAAGCTTTATATTTTTACACAGAATAAATTTTGAACGGAAACGTGAGCCAGATCGATATGAATCGTGCATCCATTCAGGCTGGATATAAGTATATACTGTAATTGGTGGCTTGTGTAGATTAGCCACAAGCTCTAAAAATAAATACCATTTACTTTATTGACATGTTTGAATTTAATTTCACTAAGAACTGAGAAAATGGTTTTTCGAACTTTTTGTTTTTCCACATTTAACTGGCATCTTAACTTCTGGTCAGTGTTTGTTGTGAGAAAAAGAGAATGTGGTTATATGACACAGGTTGGTTTTTAATGACCTAGTATTCATTCATACTTTTCATCCTTACATCAAAGCRGTTTGTGGCCTCTATTTTCATTTCGGTAGCAGCTGGTTTCAAAAACTTATTATGGTTTTTTTCTCTCTGTTTGGCTGCCAAATGAACAGCCCCCGCGCTCACTCGATAAGCTAAGGCACTGCAGACTTTTTGATGATGTTTGGCGCCAATTTTCCTTGGCCATTAACAGAACAGCTGTTATGGTTATGTACCAGGGTCCATTGCGGTAAGCCGAGATGGAGCCATGATTTATGTATAGTTGATCATTCGGTTAAGTTAGACTTGCCAGAGGCTCTTTACTATTAATATATTCAAAGTTTGTTTCGGGGATTCTAGACCATACCTTGGTAATACTTATTACTATACACTTCGGTTAAAAATCCCGTGCATTTCTACGACAAATAATTGTCAATTTTATAGCCGAACTGGTTATTGATGAGGCTATTATCATCTTTGCTATCGATAGCAAATTATGGATATATATACGTATCGTGGGATATATTAATACAATCTACTATCGTGGACGTACATGMATCTTCATTATCTTCTCCTTTATCATCATCATCATCCAATATCTTCAAATCTCTTTTAGACATTCATTGATAGTCTTGATAGTTGAATATTGTTGCATCATAAATTATTTTTATGTTATGTGGTGGTTTGGTTGTAATTAGCTTCTATAGTATTGTTGCAAAAGCAAACCATTGAGTGATTCAATGTAAGTATTGATGGTCGGCAGTCGATGGTTGACAATAAAGAGTTACGATAGAATTCAAGGCATTTCGTACAGAACTACAGCCTATTACTGGCGAGTATTAGTTGTGTCGATCCAAATACTTTTGTGGGTCTGCAGTTTTGTAACTAACAGGCTGTCATAATGAAATCAGTTTCGCTTTCATTTATCACTATGGTAATCATAGTAAGAAACAATCTTTATACTGTGTAGAATATCCTRGCAATATGATCATCCAGTGATTGACACATGGCTTGTACAAGAAATTGTTGCTGTTAGCAACCAGACGCCATCGGCATTGCATGATTGTCATTGGAAGACACGTGTGCAACACATTTTGTCGCAGCGAAAACGGAAGTAAACCCGTTTTAGAATGAAATTGTGTTTGACCGCCGGGACTGAAGAAAGTATGAATACGACGAGGGTAAAGAAATAAACTAGCTTCCACGTCGAGCAGGAATGTAAAAAGAAAAGAAAATGACGAATAAGAAATAAATGAAACTCAACCCCTCGATCGCGGATCATTGACATAAGGTTACAACTGACCAAGATAAACTATAACCAGGCTGAATGGATGTGAATCTAGATCATGTTCCTGAGCAGAGCACGTGTCGAACAAGTGAGTATCCTTTATCTTCATCTGTCCTGAAGAGTGACCWGCATATCATGATCCGATGACGCTCTCGCTGACTGACTGATGCAGCAATAAACCGGGTGTCTTTCTAGTCTTCGTAGTATCCAATCCATAATACGTACAGTTTATCATTAGTAAGATCCAAAACAGTCAAACAGTTCTTATTGACCTTGACATTATGTATCCAGTTTACTAGCTTCCATATAATGAATAGCCAACACGCGTCCCATGCACCTGCCTGAAGTACAGCGGGTTTACCTGTCTAGTCACCATGGAATCCTGATTGACGGATGACAAAACATTGACCAGGGCTATTCATGTCAATCAAGAAACAAGGAATAATAACTGATGTAACTGCTTAAAAATAGGATATTAAACAATCAAAAATATTGCTACTCAGTATCATTCACTCAGTCGGACCGGCTCACCCTTAGTATAGAAGTCCTTCTCTGATACCACCTGAATAGCCGCTACACATACAAGTCATGCATCATTTTGGACAATCCAAGGTGTCATTCATCAACAATGACTATTTTCCTCATGTTTTAACAAAACACCGAATTTCCTAATTTAAAAACTACAACTCAAAGTAGTACTTTGCGTCAGTCATATGATCAGTTGTCCGCTGACCATCATGGATCGATGTGCATGAATAGTTTCCGCATGTCTACGTATCCACGTTAACCGATCACATGTAACAATCTATTGAGATCAAGTGTTCTTCTCGTCAGTAGTACTAATATATTGATGAGGGTTAGTGTTTAGTGAAATAATTCAGTGTTCGTCCATATTTATTCAATACCAGTAGAGCCTAGTTAACGTACATACATTTTTCTGAACATAAACGTTTGCTGTAGAAACCAGGAGTATAACAGGAAAAAACTTGTTGTGTCCTGATGTGATGCATACTCTAGGGGTACCTAGGAAACGATGGAAAAGTTATCCATYGAGAGATCCAGCATTAATCAGTAATGCTTGATTAATAAGATACTAGACTCAATGGATTTGAATCAGTGAGTGATCCGCCCTATACGTGCTCTACGTGTTCTTTATGAGATACGTTTAGCATGCTAAACAAGGACGAAAGGCTTCTGTCTCCATGACGACAGATTGCTGTTTAATCACCTCGAAATGAAACAGGAAGAAAGCTAATAGATGACGGCTAAGCTGAACTGAGGATTGTTATATTGACTTGATGTGGTTTTAGTTATGTATTCAGCTGTCCCGTACGTCTATTTTCTCTATTCATTAGTCACAGTGCATGTGTATATGACAGCCAGTCCTACCAAAGTTTTACCAAATGAATAAATCTGTCTGTTTTTTGTTAATAATAARTTAATGTATCCAAAGCCTTCAGAAAAACGAACGCAGTTAACAAAAATGCATTCCTTGGGCCTGTATTTGTTTCATTTTCTGGTATGATGTATCTAGCGTTCGTTACTCATACAATATACATCCCGTATTAGGTCATGCAGAAACACATAAATATAAATTAGTTAAAAACCTTTAAACTGATGGTGCTGCATATATTAGTTCGGGTAGTATTGTGGATGGACAGCAGGCATGCATACACTAGTTATTGATGACATCAAGGTCATGTGTCTCACAGATATATTATATATGATTTATATATATTAAATAATATAATATATAATATATAAGAAAACATTATTACGGACTACGTAGTCCTGACCGCAATAGGTCAAACTATTTATAAAAGGCAGCGTTCTTCCCGTCAGATCTACGTGTCAATGTCAATTGATCATGCCTGATGATTTATGTGCGCTTTTAACTTATACGTTTTTGTTCATTTCTTGACAAAAGTGTAGGGTAGATCCACACATGCTAAGTTAGAGACAACTTCAATTTATAATAAATCATGAATCCTGACTGCAATTTCGGAACACTAAGTCAGTAGTACTTGCCTCAAGGTAACTCCATGCACAGCTCGATCATGATTCATATACTATACAGTCTACTATATATACACTTGATCATCCGCCCCTAGCGGACTACTATACCTTGCCTAACGCCATATCTACAAAATATTTCAGCCGATCTTGTAATAAAATGTTTTTCTGCCTTCAAGAAGGAATATTCTATGAGATGAGTATAAAAATATAATACGATACTTACAGCAAGTTCGATCGGGGTAAATCTTGGAAAAACCGCTCTCCAACATTGAATCTGATTTGTTGTTGTGATTTCTTGCTGATGAATACTTTCTTTCCGAAGAGTGAAAAAGATTTTTGTATGCAGAAATMAAAATCGAGTCACCTTTGCATACAAGACGACTGTTATTTATTTAGCTGGTAAATACTGAGTAAACKTATAGGGGATGGCTCGTTAGTCCGTCCCTTACTCTTACTAGCCGACCGGCGACTTGCTATGTATGTCTGCAGCTGCTATACCAAATGCTCTAATGCATTCACCGAGAAGGTTTGTTGACATTTGTGGGCTGCCAAAATATATAGCATTACTAGACTTGATTGTTAAATTTTGAAGCTCCACATCACAAGATATGCACATGCGCAATCGATACCTTTTCGTATATTTYTCTGTTTTCTTTCTCTTATCTTATTTCAAAGCAAATTAAAACGCGACTGTCAATTCTCCTTTGAGTAAGTCTTCGTTTTTGTTGGCAAATCCTGTTGTAGATGGCCTTTTTTTTCCTCCAAAGAGACAGAGAGATGAATATCATATAATTGAAGGCAGAATAAACAACTTGATGCTTAGAAAGCAGCACGCTGGGTCCAATTATGAAAAGCAAATTTTTCAAGATTAATCAACATGCGATGTGTCGTAATTAATAGGAAAAGCTAAAGCAGGTGTTTTCGTGGCATCATGTGACTCTACCAAACACCTAGCACTGATCTCATGCATATCATATCCCCGTGAATATCCACGTGACAGGTGAGTGACAGGTTAGTAAGTCGCGCAAACTAACCTGCTGAGCCGAGCAGAGAACGAATGCTGATTGGCTGTTTTTTAATTTTATTTCATTTCCTTCTATTTTCACGGATTCCTTATTTGAAAAGTTTCGTACTTGTCGTATGATATCTAGAATATTGCTTACATCCTCTCTTATTGATTGATTGTAATTCCTGCATAAATGGCTTTGATCAGTTCYGTAGCAAGCAGTACATAAATCAATCCCTCCATTCTTATCCTATTCATGTATCGAGGCTTGTTCTTTTTTGTATTAACGACAGTATTCTATTTCACTGATTCACAATACTTTATTTTTTTTCTGGTTTGTGCAACATATGCTTCCCAAAAAACGACTAAAGAAACAACAACAACACTAACAAACAATAGTAATAATAATAATAACAATAATAATAATAATAATTAGAAAACAACAACAGTGGGTCCAGTAAATAAGATGTATAAGATATTTCAATATGAAAGATAGAATCTTCCGGCTATTTGTTATCACTTTTAGTTTCTCGATAATGATAGGATATATGGCAACATCAGTCCTCGGCCAAACAATAATGAAAAGCACCAAAATATTTATACATGTCGTCACCCGTGTTATTTGGCATATCCTCTGAAATGACTGATTGAATAAAATAGAAGAATCAAGGATACCATTCCAATGTGTTTRTTAGTGAATTTAATTTTTATGGGCTGTTAAAAATAGAAAGATAACAATAAAAAATGTCAGGGAAGTATAYGGTTGAGCTAGACTCTGGATAAAAATATGATTAAGAACTACCCGAGGGAAGCCAAAGTGCATTTGATTTGGTTTATGCCCTGATCGTGGAAGAGTTTAATTGACAGATGATTGAATACAGCTGCTTCCCCTATACATTACCATAAGACACACAAAACAATGCCTCGTAGAGGCRGCAGTTGATCAGAGCGACTCCAAAACTTTCTATTCGTTGTTCTAGTGATCTGACCAAAACTAATGCAACTACTGTACAAAGATTGATGACACAGATCACCACAATGAACGATCCAATCTTGTCAGTCATGCGGCAGTCATATTGAGTTGGTTTCACTGTTTCCGGAGCAATTACGGCTTACATCTCGTTTAATCATACTTCTCGCGGCTTTTATGATTAAAAAACGCAGTAATTGAAACTAGTAGCAGCAACGAATCGCTTGGTAGCGTTCATAACATCYAACATGAAAATCGCCGCCGCTTAGATTTGATTAGAATGAATATTTTTACCATACAGCGCATTGGGAACGCGATAAGGTTATACGACGCATCATCAGAAGACGGCAAATGCAAATCATGAGATGAGACATTGAACATTCATTATATCAGCCTAAATCTAATCTTAGCCCAGCATGCTCTCAAAAAGGCCAACCACAAACTTTGCAATTAACGGAGCAAACTTCTTTGTTGAATATTTGCCTCCGTAGGGCGGTGACAAATCACATCATCAGCATCAGGTAGCGAGGCTAAATCTTCTTCTTTTTGACCAGATGATCATGTCGACCAATCGACCTTACTTTGCAAAGCGTCAGTMAAACCTGAGCATTACTTACTAACCCCCGTCATGCAAAAGTGCATGCTATGATTCATCTGTTTCGAAGCCAAGAATAGCCAAGCTGAACTGGTCCTTTGTACTCGTCAAGAGGGGATGTGGGGATGGGTAAATGGAAAAATACTAGCTGGAACAGAAACAAAATGATGTTTTTGCGTAAATAAAGTAAGAAGAAGAAGAAGGAAAAAACCCAGTTGCGCACCAACCKGGTACGCCGTTACCTATCCTGGGATCGAAAGTCCTTAGAATTACATAGCTTGACAGCAACGATAGGTAACTGGGCGATGATCTGCCACTAAGAGCTAGGCAGGAATCGGCTACACTATGCCGAGTAAAGCTCGATTATATGCACCTACTTCAATAAATGTTTTCATCGCCAAACGCGACATGGTAATGGTTTCGTTTCAATACAAAGAGAACAATGAATCAGTCCCAACACTAAGGTCCATGTTCTTGAAGAGAACACAAGTCATTCGAGCTATTAATTCTTGGATCTTGGATGACCTATCTCCTATCCCCTATTGCCTTTGGCGATGACAACGGTTAATGAAATAGGTATATAGAATCATGTGAGTACGGTCTACCTAAGGGCGTTTCCCAGTCCCTGCGCAACAAATAATTCCCCCAACACCCGGTACCTTTCCTCTAATGAATACGATCCATATCATACTTGTGATCATGAGTTGATRCATACATTCCATAAAATTTTATTTTCTGATTCTTTCTATTTACATTGCAGCATCTGCATGGTGCGCATGCGTAGACTATAGATTACCAGTACCATACAATCTATACATACTCCCTATCAATGCCAATAAATTATTACGTTAAAAAGTGCGTTAAAATGAGAAATACTTAAGAATATGGATTAAATTTTCGCTGTCTTATCTTCTCGTTGAATATACAAAACACAGACTTTAGTTCATGAAATTTTCGAGTGATTTTGCGTGAGCAACAAATCATAAATCGATTGTGTCAGAATAAATAAAGGTTTGTGTGTTTGACGAAAAGTGGAGAATACAAAAGAAGAGAAGAGTTCTAAACGGCAGCTTGAATAGAGTGCAAACAATATAATCGTGAAACTTTAGTAATACTAAATAGCACAATTTCATGCAAATTCCATTGTTTTCTATTGTTTAACTAGCACTATTTTGTACTATTTAGTAATTAGTGTTTCACGGATTAATTGTTTGCACTCTACAGAAAGTGGGTAAGAAGTAATGTAGCATTGAACAAGTCAGATGGTTTCTGAGTGTTTGTTAGTGAATACATGGTTTCTAAAATATCTGACAACACTCACTGGTTACTGACCTAACAGAAGGTGATCGTAGGACCTGTAGGCCAGGAGTTTCTGATTTGAGAATCTTCTGCCTCTTAACATCGACTTTCATGTCAATGTTTTCTAGATCGGTTGGTGTAAGTGAATCHCGTTTACCTGACCCACCATTACACAAAATATCACCATTACTTTCTACTAGAGTTCTTTCTAGTTCCGAAAAACTATGAATGTACTTGACAGCACTGCCTTTGCGTTCAGATACCAGGCAGCTGTAATCAGAAGSGGCAGTATTTGCCCTATCATTGCCATCCTGGAACATCACACATTCATCAAGGTTACTGACTAGTAAGGCGTTTTCCTTTAGTAACTTGTGATTATTATCAGTAGTAGTAGTACCCGTCCCTTGTTCTCCAAACATGTTTTCCTTATTACTTTCATCTATACAGTCTAGGGTTGTAAACTTGTTTTCACTGTGGAGTAAGAAGTTACTTCTATTCAAACAGTTYGTTTTTCCGCCTCCATTTTGTTGCTGAGTACTACCCTTGGAGCTTTTATCATCGTTTGTAGTCTGACTGGAAGTCGYATGACCTAAATGTTCAATTCGTTTATTCCTACTACCGCTTCCATCCAGTCCACCGTCCCCTTCACTTCCACTGTCATCTCGGCGATATTGTCTYGGGCTTCGTCGACAACTAGAGCTTGTATTCAATCTTTTCATGTGTTTATCTAAATCATCATCATCTGAGCTGCTACAACTAGATGAACGTCGGCTCCCAGATGAAGTAACGGGTGATAAACGTCTCGGGGTTCGTCTTGGTTTAATGGCTCCACCACCTGTGTGCTTACGCGATCGTTCTATTCGAGGAGAGTTCATTGGACTGTCATCTAAGTCTGATTCACGTTCCTCAAATATTTGGTTCAAATGTAAGGGTGTACTCTTGGCTTTAGCTAAAGGCATGTGCGAGTTGATTTGTCTACGGTTCCGTGGTTTAGAAGGAACAAGAGAAGGCCTGATGTTGTCTTCCGAACTACGACATGATGAAGATCCTGAGGCAAAGTCGTCCAACGAACGGAATATTCGACGACTTTCCATGAGATTCCCATCATCATCTTCCATGGAACTATGTAAAGCTTCGTCAACTTCAATTGCGTGAGCCTAAAAACCACATAACAGGCATATACTGTTAATGGTTACCACATCCTCCCTACCCTGCATCCCATATGCCACTGACATGACCCCCCTGTTTACATGTAACATAGTGTACCTGGATGAACCCAGTAACCCTCCCTACCCTGTTAGGTTCCATATATCACTGGCATGGCTCCCCTTTACATCAGTGATATGGTAACACAAAAGTGTTACACCGTACCTGGATGATCTTGTTCATGATTTGTCCTTCTCTTGGCACCAGTCTTCTAGAGCTTGTTCTTGGACTATTGTCACTGGATTTTTCCGAACCACTATCACTTTCTGCAGATGATGGCCTGTGGCAAAACCATTCAAGTACTTCAAAATGTGCATAAACTATACAAGTTGTTATAAGCTGGTTGTTTCAATTTTGTTTGTCTATCTATCAAAGTTAGTGTTATCCCAAAGTCCACTGCTCCAGTTCTCTTTACCCTGACTTGGATCAATCTGTGAGGGGTTTAATCTGTGAGTTAGCCATGCCCTGATTTAGATCAGCCCAGAGGTTGTTTCAGGGWTCGATCTGTGAGTTAGCCATGCCYTGATTTAGATCAGCCCGGAGGTTGTTTCMGGGTTCGATCTGCAAGTTAGCTGTGCCTTGGCTTATATCATCACAGAGGTTGTTACAGGGTTTTATCTGTAAGTTAGCTGTTTCCTGTCTTTGAACAGTCCATGGTTAAGGTTGTTACAGTGTCCAACCTATGAGTTAGCCTTGTCCTGACTTATTTTAACGTTTGATAAAAGTGTTTTGTAGTTGTAATAGTTAAAAGTTAATGATACCTTGAGGGTGTTCTGTGTGCTCTTAAGGCATTTTCCGTTACTGAACCTCGACTTCGTTTCTTTTTCTTTGCAGCATTAGGGCTATTAACATCATTTATTGGTTTAGTTCTACGAAGCTGTTCTGCCAATAGATAGTATGTAGCAGCAGTGTGGTTGTAAGGATCCTCTTGAAGAGACCTGTTTACAAATCATTTACATTTTGTTATTTATAATGTAGGAGGAAGTTTACAAGCTGAAAATCTGCTGAGAGAATAAATCATGCCATGCTATGCTATGCCCTGTCTTGCCCTGTCCTGTAATGACCTGCCATGCTATGCCCTGT